TAGTTCATGCAATAAATACATTTCACTTCATTTCGTTTTAAATTACGTAACGTTTATTTAATCGATCAATTTATTTTTCTAATTTGACCTTTGACCTTCGTTCGATATCTGAGATTCATTTGTATCGTTGGATTTCGGAATATGATACCCTGTCTATTCAGCTGCAACGACTAAAGAGGTCAAATGGAGTGGGGTACTTAGTACTGGGGTCTAACTACCCCACTGTTGGGGGGAAAGGGATTGTTAGTAACTGGGTCAAATAGCCTCATTACTAAAAATATACCCTGTCAGGTCGACCTCTACGTGGTTCCCCCTGGAAACCATTGTGAACAATACTTGTTGAATTCGTCACGATGGGCTAACTGACCTGCTTTCATCCTCGTCAGTCATCTATCACTGGTGCCCCGCCAGTGTATACCGATAGCGCAAACCGGGTTACCATACCACCCATTAAAAGAATCTACCCCACTGTTAACAATATGTCGTAAAGTAATTGCATTTGTATAGCTATGTTTCGGTTTGAAGGGTGGGATATAGCAATAAAATTACAGGATACTTACAGAGATCTGAGTCCTCAGGAATGGTAACCCATGGGAGGTATTATGGGCGAAACAGTATACTCTGTTATGTACACTGTTTCGCCTTTCTGCTCATGTCTATAGGCGACGGTTACCACTTTCCATCAGGTGGGCCGTCAGCTTGTTTGCCATTCTAAGTTGCATAAAAAGATTAAATACCGTTTTGCACCTTTGTTTGGTTTCCCACGTGGTCCCCTTGTAAACCATTATGGTTAATCCCGGGAGATTTCGCCACGATACACCGAATGAGCTGACTTCACCGTCACTCATCATCACTCACTGCCAGCCAAAGTGGATCCTAATTTTTTTTTCTTTATTTGGAAAACGTATGATTCGATATTTATAAAGAAACTTATTAAGAATATTCTGTATTTGTTAAAAAACTAATTAAGGGCTGGAAATGTATATACAAAAACTAATTAATATTAATTATTTAAGTATGATATCAGAAATATATATGTAGCCATATATTATTTGTTACCTGTATCTAAAAGCTTTCAATTACATAACAAGCTATTAAGAGGATTTTTGTTTTTTTTTTTTAATGGGTGATAATGGAATGGTTACCCCGCCTGTGCTATCGGTATACACTAGCGAGGTACCAGTGATGGATGATAAATGAGGATGAAGTAGGTCAGTTAGCCCATCGTGAGGAATTCAACAAGAATTGTTCACGATAGTTTCCAGGGGAAACCACGTAGAGGTCGACCAAATATTGCTAGCAATGGGGCTGTCAAACTCCATTGCTAACAATCCCTTTCCCCCCATATTAAGAGGATTATGCTCGGAGACTCTTTGCGTTATAGAATCCGAAACGAGAATATCCGCAGAAGGACCAAAGCAACCGACATAGCCTGAAGGATAAGCAAAATACCCTGCAAATTCACTGCCATATCCCACCCTTCAAACCGAAACGCAGCCATGCAAACACAACTGCTTCACGGTAGAAACACGAATGGGACAGAGGTGGCCAAGCAGACGACTTTTGTACAGTCTCCCTCTGGTAACTGGAAATGTATGTGGAATTATGTTATCGTTTTTAGATTAATCTCGAGATTAAAAAGCCAGTATATACAAGAATGTAATTTAGATTTAATTATTATTACATTAATGCAATAATTTGTTTATTTATTCTTTGTTGCACAATAAAATTTAGTTCAAATGATGAGCTTAATGCCATATGGCATTCTCTACCAACTACCCATTAGGTAAAAACAGAAAGCGTATGAAGGGCAGTGGTGGTAAACAGTTATATAATATATAGAATATATTAGCACAATGATAGACATGTTGCAATACAGATATGTGGCCGTATGGTCCCGGCATAGAATAAACCATCCCTGCCTTTCCCGTGGGTGTCTTAAGTGGTGACTAAGGGAGCTTAATGTTAGAGGAATGGACAATAGCGTCCCTCTTAAAATATCTCTAAAAGACTAACTGCAGTTGTCTACCCGCCTACCAAGTTGGCAACTACTGACAAACCCCCTATGGGGGAGGTTTATGTTCAGCGATGGATAGATAACAGGTGAAATGATGATGATGAGACATAACACTTTAACCCTTCTTTGCATGATCTTTTTATTGGTGAAAGAAATCAAGGTGATATAATTCATGTTCAAAATTCAAGGAAAAATGGTTAAAAAAATAAAATTTGAAAGCTATGTTTTTTCTTTCTGCAATGGACAATAATAAGGTATCCAGACACGATCAATTTAAAGTGAACTTGTTCTTTTATATAATTTTTGGTAATTCAATGTTATGATGGAAATTTCTACTATTATGCACAGAAAGGTTAAGGCATTTTCTATCTGTCAAACATAGGTAGTATATCTCTCTAATATATAAAATTCTGGTGTCACGGTGTTTGTTACTAAACTCCTCCGAAACGGCTTTACCGATTTTCATGAAATTTTTTGTACATATTGGGTAGATCTGAGAATCGGCCAACATCTATTTTTTATATCCCTCAATGATAAGGGTGACCCACTTCTAAAATTTTTTTTTTATTTCTTTGACAATTTTTTTTTATTTTTATTTTAATATGATTTAGCATTGAAAAATACATACAGCTTCAAATTTTCACCCCTTTACGATCAACCCCTGTTTTTTAATCGCGATATTTATAAGGTAAGATTTATAGGTTGCAAGATGGCAATCCAATATAATAATTGTAGTAGGATACATTTTCATGTATAGTGCTCGAAATAATGTATATGGTAAAACAACGTTTGCCGAGTCAGCTAGTAATCTAATAATATAATTTAATACTAATCGGATTTATAACGTGTTTACTGTCATAGCTACTTACAGCAGAGACCTCCCCATACAAATTTAATTATATGCTCTAATTTCAAAATAATAACATATAAGCACACTTATGACCTTAACCATTACAAATCATTTATCAGATAATTGTAATAAAATCATAGGAAGCTGATATACTTAAGTTTAAAGGTCGACGAAGCGTTTCTCTCGCAAGGTCACCCGTTTGGGAACATTGAGTGTCCATACTTGCAATTAATGAGAGCATTCAGTTCATATTTATTTCATATGAGTACGTGTTATGCGATAGTGTAACAGTCAGATATCCCTGTGGTAACGGAGAAGAAAGTTTGAGGAACAAAAAATATGAAACATATAATTTTTTTGTACCCCTAACATCATAAGAGGCGATTGTGTAAAGCGCACTGTACCTATATCAATGCATGAATATACAGGGAGTTAGTGTTCCTTATAGGAGTCTATAGGTGAGGCCTATGTCCAGCAATGGACGGATGATGGCTGAAATGATGATGATTATGATATATTCTACACTACTTTGTAGGCGCAAATTTCAAAAGTAAGAAAGACAATTTTTGTTTATTTATAACAGCTATAATATACATATATATATATATATATATATATATATATATATATATATATATATATATATGTATATGTATGTATGTATGTATGTATGTATGTATGTATGTATGTATATATATATATATATATAGATAACGAAAATTCATATTAGGTACGGTCTAGAATAGATGATTGGGCAAACACAATTTTGCATAATGCCACAACAAATATACGGACAGAAAGACAGACAAAATGTAAAAAAAAATTGGCTTCTGTTGGTTTTATTAATACCCCTCATATGACAACAGACTATAGCTTTGTAAATTATTTGCTACTATTTTCTAGAGCTATTTCGAAACCTATCAATAAAAAAAAAATACTAGTAGAAGGTAGTATATCTTCTTAAATGCAGATTCAGAATAACACTTAAATATTTAGATAAAAAAAACCTGTTGCATAAATTAATATACATTTTTTATCCCTATTAATACTTATTTGTACTTGATATGTTCTCAATTTACATATTAATGAGATGTTGAACAAAAAATATACAAAAATAAAAATGCGGGTATAAGATGCAGTTTATTAATAACTGGACCTAGTACCTATATTTTAATTGCACATGCACATTATTGCGGAAATAGAAAAAAATAAAACCTAAAATCTTATAAAAACTGCGTTATAAACATAGTTATATATTAAACATGTTTGGGCTTCGTTTCATAAATTAATTAATTAAAGAGTCAATAATTAAAATTGTTTCTTTCATTATGGTACTAGATTTTTTTATTATATTGACAAATATTAAATTGCTTTCCTCTATCATGATATCCCATTGCTGGGCAAAGGTCTCCCCCATTTTCTTCCAAAACTTTCTGTTTGACGCCACCTCAATTCAGTCCCTTTTACTCATAAAAGAGGTTTAGGTCTATACACCATTGCTTCCTGGACCGGCCTCGGAGACCCTGTCCATCAGTAGGCACAAGTAACTTAGGAGATATAAAAAAATGATGTGAAGTGTTTTTAATAGTGTTTTGGAAGTCACTTAGAAATAAATAAGACGAATTTATTTATAATATATTTATGATAAATAATAAATTTGTTAGAATATGGTACAACAATATGAAAGCCGGAGGGAGAGTTTGTACAAAAGTTGTTTGCTTGGGCACTTCTGTCCCAATCATGTTTTTACTGTGAAGCAATTGTGTTTGCATGCCTGTGTTTCAGTTTGAAGGGTAGGATATGGCAGTGAATTTACAGGGTACAGAGGAATAACACCTGAGTCCTCAGGAATGGTAACACATGGGAAGTATCATGGGCGAAACAACATACTGTCTTATATCCACGGTACTGCTCATGTCTATAGACGTCGGTTATCACCTTTCCATCAGGTGGGCCGTCAGTTTGTTTGCCATTCTAAGTTGCAATAAAAAAAAAGTAGTAAATAAATTCCCATCATATCCTGCTGTTTCCGGCGTACAAATATTTAAAAGCAATACATAAAGAAGCATATAGAAGCATAGCAGTGGAATGTAAATATACAAAGGTGTGTCTTAACTGCGCAAAAATTCTCTTCCAGCGAATTAAAAGTGAAAAAAAAGGCATAAATGTTTAGTTTACTACAATTTTTTTCGTTGAATCATTATGTTGCCACTGGATTACCTTTTTCTATTCTTTGCCTAACAAAAAAACTACTTGTTAAGCAAAACGACGCAGTTTAAACTTACTCAACATTGTTTACTAGCGCATAACATCATCCATTACAATTATAAGATGGACCGAGTTCGTGAATTATACTCCGATTAAGCAATACCGAACCACGACTTTTGAACAAGAGCATCTTATAATATCTTACAATATTAATACATATCTGTTCCTCTTGTATGAATTAGTATAAATATTGTACTTAATATGGCACGTTATCAGTTCATATTAGTCCAACTGTGTGGTAGCTTCTCTATAGAAAAAAAAAAAAAATAAATAAAAAATAAAAATAAAATGAAATCGGTGAGTGATTTAATTAAAACAGTATTGTGATGAAAATTCAGTGATCAAGTTTATAATAGATCTGTGAAGTGAATAAATTTATTGTTGTGTAGAGTAAATAATTTTTAATTTTTTAATAACAAATAGATACAATGTATCTCATGAAAGTTATTAGTATGTAGTTGAGAAACGGTAGAAAATTTACACAAAAATTAAACAAAAAAATAATAATAATAAAAATACGACAATGAAAATATAATTGTTAAATATATTTTTATTGTCGTATTTAATACGTCGTGATATGTATTTATAATAAATATAAATTAAAATATAATATAAATGCTGCATGCTTCTGGTGTAGTGGGTGGTCATGGGTAATAGCTTACCATCAGGTGAGCCACATGCTCATTTAACCCTGTGTTATAAAAAAAAATCTGATTGTATAGCGAATGACACTTGTTTAGATGTAAAAATTCTGTCAATACTCCATTAAATCCAAGTTTGTTCAGGCATTTAGAAGTTATGGTGGAATAAAACTACATGCATAAACCTTGAAAACATTATACTCCTTTTTTGAGCGGTCGGTACGGTAATAAATAGTTAAATAGTTATAAGCAGGCATACAAAGATAAAATACTTACTCCTGAGAACATCGTTTTAATTACTGTACATTAGCTTAAACTATTTACAGCTGTCTTTTTGTTTTTGTCATTGCCATGTCATAATCCCCGATGCAAAAAGTAGGAATTTTATAAGTCTATGTATGTACCTGCGTATCTGATATTTATATATGTGTGTTTGTCTGCGACGTCACAGCTCCTCAAATGGATGAACCGATTTGATACATTTTTTTTCTGTTTGAAAGCTGACGTAACTGAGATAGTTTTTAGTTATAATTTATGCGTTTTAAGATACATTTTCTATTTGATGAAGGGATAATACCAACTTGCACAAGTTCGATTCATTTAAAATAGGGTATACCGTTAGTTCGATAGCATTTATAAGAGATAGTAACCTTGATCTGATGCTGCAGTATTAAATAGTCTGCAGGATACCAACTCCTCAGCAACTTACAGCAGATATAGCATGTTTGGGCACATTAGGAAGGTCTCAATGGGTAGACGTGAGACAAATGATCGGTGCCTTAGCTTTTCATATTTTTTGTCATGTTTTGGGTTATTTTAATAAATTTAACTTGTTAGTATATTAAATTAACAAATATAACAAATGTTACCAACAAATATATTTTGCTTTGTACAAAAATACAGCTTCATTTGTTACAAAATGCTAATAAATGACGAGATATCAAAACGTTTGAATTTTCGTGTATGCAGTAGATTTTACTTTACAATAATTTTTTTTTAATACCACAAATGTGGCAAACAATCATATATTAGGGGTGTCACGTACGCGATTTCGACTCTAAAGAAACCTTAATATGCCTTTTTTGAAGAACTCCATACGGTGCCTATAAATTTCAATATTTAACAATAATATATTTGATTATATTAAATAAATGTTTAAATGATGTATTTTTACAACTAAAGGGACATATTTCAGTTATTTTTCAGTTATCTACTTATGAATCCTTTAATATTAGTCAAAATTTGTAATGATGAATGAATGGATGTTTGTTACTGTTTTACGCAAAAACTATTCTATCAATTCCGTTGATTTAAATCAAATTTGGTATATGCATAGGTTAAAGCTTAACATAGCACATATAGTATTTCATATATTGATTCACGTGGGTAAAATCGCGAGATAGAGCTAGTAAGTTCTAATTTTCTAAAAATATAGGTTACAGATTGAACATATATTAATCTGAAATCTACTTATCAGTTATTGAGTAAACATATTGCATATTGTAACAACAGATAAATCCTACAGTTATGTGATATATTTAACCTGAAAAATAGTAAAATAAAAGTTTTCATATTTCAATTCAATTTCCAACGAGATATTTATTCACTTTCGTGACTTACTCTCGATTAAGTTACGTCTGTTACATTTAGCCTGATATTCATTTGGTAATCGTTAATTAAAACTTTTAATTAAAAATTTCAGTTAATCCTTCTCACTGTATGTGCTTGGGCCAGTGCTGCCAAACTGGACAATACTTATCTGCCTCCATCTAACGCTCAGTCATCAGGAGGGTCTGGAAACTTCTTGCAAGCACCAACATCAGGGTCCTCACAATTCCAGGGCCGTGCTCCTTTCGGTAACGGAAACGGTGTTAACGGAAACAACTATGCAAGAAATAACGAATTTGCTCCAAATGGAAATGCCTATTCCCAGAACGGAAATGGTTTTACCCAGAATGGTAATTCTGGTCAATACGATAACGGTTTTGGTGATTTTGAGAACCGACCGGAACGTCCTCAAGCTGCATTCGAGAGAAACGCTGCTATTCTTCGTCAAGATAATTCTAACGATGGAGAAACATATTCCTACGCCTATGAAACGGAGAATGGAATTTATGCTGAAGAAAGTGGTGTAGCTACAAACGGCGTAGAGGCTCAGGGTGGATTCTCTTATACTGGTGACGATGGACAAGTTTACAGCATTAGGTAAGTTAATTAGGTTGTAATTTAAATATGTAACCATAAAATATTACATCAATTAACTCAATTAATTTAGCAACCGCGATATCCTTATCTTTACTAACGTTATAAAATGTGAACGTGAGTTTGTTTATTACCTCTTGACACCTTAATGACTCAACCAGTCATGAAATTTCACATACTGTGGTATTTGGGATAAGAAAGATACAAGTTTTTTATTTTGGTCAACTGATAAATATATCGAAATCATGAACACAAAGTTGCAATTAAAATGTAATTATTAAAGATTGTGTTCCACGAAAAAAAACCGACATCAATTGTGACAAAACCAGTTATATTGGTCTAAAAATGAAACTACTAAACCGATTTTATATCCTTTCAGATAAAAAAAAAAATCTCTTCTCCAAAATCCAAGATTTTCCAAATCGATTTAGAACTAACAGAGTATTGAAATAACAAACGTAAACAAAAATATACAAATTAAGAGTCTTGTTCTTTTTGAAGTTAGTTGAAAATAAAAAAGTTTCGAAACCTCGCTTCCTTTCATTATATAAATATAATTATATAGAGGTTATTATTTGATTATAATTTATGAAACTATGAATTCACTTGAAAAATATTGGTAATTTTAAGTTATTCGCTTAAACATGTAATTATTGTGTATTAATTTAAATATGAAGAAATGTAACACAAAGCTGTAAAAAATTTAAAAAAGACTACCCAGTCAATGTTTACAGCTACAATACAATTCGAGATGATTTAAAGATTATAACGTTAAGATTTTACTCCACATATCTAATTCTGTTTGGGCATTTAAAAGTTATAATGAAATAAAGTAAAACTTATGAATACATTTACATAAATATAAACATATAAAACTTGAAACATGAGACTATTTCATATATTTCACATATTCATACACAAACATATGTACACTCCTTTTGTTTGGCAATCGTGTAAAAACATATTACTACTTACTTCGCGTAGTAAGTAAGCAATATGCTTTTTGTTTAATCTAGAAATGAAAGTCAAAATTAAAAATATAAAGGTTTAAAAATATAGAGGCTTAATTTTAAACATTAAAGTCCTTCCCGAATAAAACATTATCTAATGTTGGAATTAAAATTAATCAAATCACTGCAAATGCCACGAAATTAGAATTAGATTGTAATATTGGTTTACACAATAGGTCATTTCTTTACATTATACAAACCCCTAACAACTTCTTTGTTTGTTCATTTTGACCTATTACTCATTCTAGATCCTAAATAATCGTAACCTTAATTTAAAACAAGACAATAGAAATGTACTCGATCGATCGATGTATCGATCTGAAGCTTCAATTGTAACTAATGCATTTGGCATTTAGATTCTGTAGATAATTACAATTTGATCTTCTATATTGTTAAGTTTGACTAATTACTTGTTGATTTCTAAAACGATCATTATTGATCGAATATATACGAGAGAGTTTTTATACAAATTATCTGAATTGGTACTTTTGTTTTGCTTACTTATGTTTGTTGAATAGCAATTACTTATTTAATTGCGTGTTCTAATTAAAAGGAAAATGAATAAAACAAACATAAAAAAAATAATAATAGAAATTACTAGGGACTGTAAAATATATGAGAAAGGTACAATTTGTTGCAAGGATTTAAGTTAAAGTTTTGCTGGAAGAAATCTCTTATTAGAGATAAGCTCGCCTTTGTACATTATGTTTATAATGAATTGTAATTAACAGTATGTTTTGTGTACAACAAAGAATAAAGAATAAAGTAAGTTGCTAAACTGTTTTCGTTACACATTAATACTGGTAAAGTTTAGTATGGTCTTTAGGCCATAACTTTACCTGCTTCTTTAAGCACTACGGAAATAACAATTCTCTTTTTATTAAACAATTTGAAAAACGAAAAAAAAAAAATAGGACGGTTAAGTGGTAAGAATTAGTAAAATCAAGAGTCTGAGAAACTGATTTGCATATAAGAGACGAGTAACGAAATTGAATAAAGCAACAAATGTACCAAACAATCATTCTTGAATCACGGTATTCGTTTACGATTAGGCGGATCGTAAGGTTTAAATGTAATAGAAATATTCTACCGTCGATATCGAAAAATACGTGACCGAAACGTCAGTTTCTATATTTATATAAAAAAAATAATTAATATCTATCCAAGCTACATCATTTAATCGATTAATTATATATAACCAACATTACATTAGGGCCAAAGTGATATGCCAAGGTTTGGGGTAACGTATTCTTCACACATAATCACGAGCAAGGTGCAGAGTTAAAAGCGCTAATTAACTAAAATCTATATGGTTATAATAAAAAAAATTTAAAAAATTTTATAGCAAGGTCATCGTTATTAACAAGTTTAACATAGTAATTTTAGACTTCAAACACGATTTTAGAAGATAATTAATTAGTTATTTATATAATATGTGTTAGATTATAACTACGTATATAAACAATATTTCTATATCTATCTATGTATATAAAGAAGAAGATTTCAAGTACATGGGATGACCAGTGGACTGTAAAGTTATTTGATTGGGTACCTCTGTTCCATTCTTGTTTTTTCTACCGTGAAGCAGTTATGTTTGGATGGCTATGTTTTGGGTTGAAGGGTGGGATATGGCAGTTAATTTACAGGGTACAGAGGCATAACACCTCAGTCCTTAATAATAGCAAATCATGGGCGAAACAGTATACTCTGTTATGTCCATGGTACTATTCATGTCTATAGGCGACGGTTACTACTTTCCATCAGGTGGGCCGTCAGCTTGTTTGACATTCTAAGTTATGTAAAAAAAATAGTGACATTTAAGGTAAATAAAATAATCATACAGTATACAGGTTATTAAGACCAGGCAGATCAAGGAAGGAGTTGGTGTCGTGTCGTATCAAGAGGTGAAGAGACTCACTGAAAATCGTAGTGAGTGGCAAGAGCTGCACCAACAGGAGCACAGCTCTTAAATGGATAGATAGATAGATACAGGTTATATTATAGTATACCTGTGTAAGTGTAGAACAATATATAGGTACTAACTACAAGTATTATATAGATACATGTAGTATTAGATAAGTAGTTTTTAATAGATTTATTTGCCACAAATTTATTTATTTATTTTGAAACAGATACACTGCCGATCAAAATGGATTCGTCCCTCAAGGAGATCATCTTCCCACTCCTCCTCCAATCCCTGAGGAGATCTTGAGAGCCTTGGAGCAGAATGAGCGTGATGAGGCCGCTGGTATTTTTGATGACGGTGAGCATACTTTTATTTGATTTATTTATATACATTCACTTTAAGCGAAATATGAATAATATTCATATATTTAATAAAATAAATTCACGTCAAATTGGGAATTTAGTCTAAGTAACTTGGATCAACTGGAGTGGACCAACTAGGTACTAGGATATGGGGCTGGCAAGTAGTTGTGGACATCATCAGAACACAATCCGACCCGGATGTAACATTTGATGTTTACAATTATTATCCACTACGTTACCTAAACGTTGCCTTGAAAAGATTGCTTACAGCAATAAAGCCGCTATGTTGCATTCATATTAATTACCTATGTCCTGTTATTTATTTATTTATTTTAGACTTTATTTCACCTAGTAAAAAGAAAAATAATAAATACAGTTACTACTATCCATATCCAAAATTTATAGTTAATATCAAGCATATTCTCTCTCTCTTTCTTTCTCTCTTATTGTAAAAAACATTTAAGTATATTACAATTACATTCTTATAAAAATATGCGTCATGTGGTCCCGGCATACAATAGGCCATCCCTATCTTTCCCGTGAGTGTTGTAAGAGTCGATCGACTAAGGAGGGCGAGGGATGGGCAGCAGCGTCCCTCTTAAAACATCTCTAAAGCCTGATTGCAGTTGCCAATCCGTCTACTAAGCATGGCAACTATTGGCAAAACCTATTAAACCTAAAAACCTAACCTAAAAACTATTGGCAAGGGGTAAGCTTACGTTCAGCAGTGAAGATAAAGGCTGATATGATAATGATTATTATTATATATGGCTATACGTGACTGGCTTCTTTTTATGAATACATTGTCATTTATTATGCAGTAAAATCATAAAGGATGACAATTTGAAAGAGTTTGTATACAAGTCTATTTGTATAAGAATGATTCTCAAACGTCTATGTCATATAACATCAATTTTATAAATTACAGGATCTTACAACGAAGCGAAATACGGCAGCGGTGACCAATACAACGGAAACTATAACGGAAACAGTTTTAACGGAAACGCTTACAACAACCAAAACAACTATGACCAAGGCGATGATGACAGCGTAGTCACAACATCTGCTTTGTTCCGCAACAGCCCAAGAAACCAAAACTCGAGAAACTTTGGTGCTAACTCTCCCAACAGTGGTATTGGTGGTTCAAACGGTGTCAACAACGCTTATTTGCCGCCTGTGGCAAATAACGGAAACGGGCGTAACGGAAACGGTTTCGGTAGCAGGAATCGTCAGCCCACTTACAATGAACGAGACGGCTATAGATTTTAATCGATTATTGTTATATAAAATTATTGAAAAAAACTTAATTTTATAATTTTTTTTTTATTTATGTAAACCTCTACAATATAAATTGTTCTACCTATTCTATTAATACTATAAATGTGTGTGTGAGTTTGATAGATGTTTGGATATATGGACATTTGATTATTTCAATGGATTTGAACAACATTTGGTACACAGACAGATATTATATATACTTTATATATAGAGTACTTTTTGTACTAAGTCACACGTAAAATGCCACAGTAAAAACCTAGTTAGTCACTATGTTCAAACGACTCAACAGATTTAAATAAAATTTAGTACGCAAATGGATCACACAATAAACTAACATTGTAGAATAATATTCATCATAATTAATGCGAGCAAAGTCATAGATTAATGATAGTTTATTTTTTATACCACGAAAGTTGTAAATAAGCATACAGCCCGCCTGATGGTAGACGGTCACTGTAGCTTATGGACGCCTGTAACACTAGGGGTTTTACGTGTGCGTTATCGATCCTGAAAAAACTTTTAATAGTAGGTAAATGTGCCTTACAATTATATTAATTACCTGGCACTCAACCCAGTATTATGTTAAGTGAAATGATTAAATCATCAATTTTCAAGCAAAAGGTAAAATAAAAATTATAAATTCTGAAAATCATGAAAAAAATTATGAAAATCAATAATTCGAGATATAACTCCACACAAACAATCAGACAGCAGCATACCTCTGATGAACGATTACTTATAAATTCGTCTTATCTAAATCTTTTCGCCTTTTTCATCTATTTTAATTCAATTACTAATTTATTTGAATTTAGTAGTGTAGTATTTAGGGTATTTTCTATATTAAATTATTAAGTTTGAAACAAATTATAAAATAAGTCTTGGTGTAGTCCCAATATAGAAAGGACCACTCCTTCCTTTCCAGTGCGTATTGCAAGAGGCGACTAAAGAAACTTAATGGCAGCAGCGTCCTTCTTAAGACATCACTAAAACCGAACTGCTATTGCTAACCAGGCGTGGCGGGGGGAAAAGGATTGTTAGTGATGGGGTCTAATAGCCCCATTACTGGCAAAATATCTCAGGTTGACCTCCACGCGGTTTCCCCTGGAAACCATCATGTTTAATTCTTGTCGAATTCATCATGGTGGGCCAACTAACCTGCATTCGTTCTCACCTATCATCTTCCACTGGTGCCTCGTCGGTGTATACCAATAGCGCGGGTGGGGATACCAATCCATTTTCACCCATTAAAAAAAAAAACCAGGCGTGGCAACTACTGGCAAAAACCCCCTTATGAGGAGGCCCGTGTTCAACAATGAACTGATATGATAATTATAGCTTATAAATTAATAATGGACTAACATGAGAGCAAAGTCTATCGATTGGGGGAAAAGGCTATGTAACAATCCCATTGACAGCAATGTACTATATTTGGTCGACATCCACGCGGGACGCGCGACTACAACAATACCTGGGGCGTGCCCGGTAGTCGACCATTCTTTACACCCGGTAGTCGACCATTCTTTTAACTCTTCTGCCGCTCTTTACAAGCCTTTTTCAATCATTTTCACACAACGTAATGCAACTACATGATTGATGTGCTTTCTTAGGCGTTCTGGGTCTTCTCTTACGGCCGGCGATCGGTCGTCCCTCGAATTGGAGACCGGTAGACATCAGAGGCCGCCAGTTCGGAGGCCGACCATTCACTCATTTATTGCAGTATCTGGCCGTTCATTTACCTTCCTAATGCTCTTCAAATATTGCGTCTAAACTGCGCCCACCATGTACCCTCTTGTATAGGTGTTCCGTCACCCGTATCCAATAGCGAGGACAGGATGCCTTGAATACTGTAACGAAAATAATAAAAAAAGAGGTTCCCCTTAGAAGCCGTGGGTAAATCTTGTGAACATTGTCACGATGGGCCAAATGACCTGCTTTCATTATCATCTATAATTTATTACTAGTTCCCCGATAGCGTATACCGATATCGATTCTATTAAAAAAAAAAAACAAAGACATTTTGGTTTAAAAAAAATAGGCACAAAAAATAGGTTCAAAATTAGTATAGATATCGCGCAACCTACTTTTAAAAAGCGCTTAAAAAGTATTGTGTCAAGTTAAGTCTGTTAAGTTCAATGAACAATTTGCACCGTAAATAAAGCGACTTTAATCGCTAATACATAGTCTAAGATCCTGTCACAAATTTCTGCAGGTATTTTTTTTTAATTAAACTTGCTAGCTCTGATTTAGCCTAGTGTTGCCAGGTATAATATATCTTTCGTGGTATAACTAGAGACACATTCAACCTGGATAGCAGAGTGATGCAGGTTCAAAGGCATTAGATGGGGCATTAGAATTTGAAAAGGTATTTTTCGCGCTGGATCCTGGGTGGTGTACAGACGGGAATCCTGGGATTCGGTATTGCGCTCCGAGGTACGTCGTGGGTAAAACTTCTACAGATCCCTTCTGCCCCTCCTCTAGCAATTGCGATGGGTTTTCGGAGGAAGTCTTATTTAAAAAAAAAAGGTTGTCAGTTAAAAATAGGTAATAATTTTAGTAACCTTAGGGAGTCTTTGTACAAAAGTCGTTTGCATGGGTACCACTGTTTCATTCGTGTTTATACCGTGAAGCAGTATGGCAGTGAATTTACAGGGTACAGAAGAATAATACGTTAATGCTTAGGAATGACAATGCATAGGAGGTATCATGGGCAAAACAGTAAACTCTGTTATGTCCATTGTACTGCTCATATCTATAGGCGACGGTTACCACTTTCTATCAAGTGGGCCGTCAGTTTGTTTGCCATTCAAAGTTGTATTAAAAAAAATTCTAAATTCATCGTGCATTTTAATAAAATTTGTCCGTTTGTAAGTTTATTCCTCAACAACTTAAAAAAGAAAAAATGAGGCCTAAAGAGAAGGAGAACTTTAATTATGACATAACAATTTAAATTAATAAAGAATTTAAATTAATAATTTTAATGAAATATTTAAATATTTTTGTTAAGAGTTAAAAACAAGTCTTAATTGTAAACAATTGTTAAATTATATAAATCTGCTAGCGGCCCGTCCCGGCGTCGCAAGGGTGGACAATTTTACATTTCAAAAAGTGGCCATTAAGGCTGCACACGCGACGGAAGCTTAAAAATGGAGTAACTTCCCCCGTTTTCCCAACATTTCCCTTCACTGCTCTACTCCTATTCATCGTAGCGTGATGAAAAGTATACTATAACCTGCCCAGGAGTATGATGAATAATTGTACCAAGTTTCGTTAAAATTCGTCGAGTATTTTTTGTTTCTATAACGAACATACAGACAGACAGACAAAAATTTTACTGATTGCATTTTTGGCACCAGTATCGATCACTAATCACCCCCTGATAGTTCTTTTGAAGATATATTTCATGTACAGAATTGACCTCGCTACAGATTTATTATAAGTATAGATTAACAACGCATCAGTTGGTACCGACTACAAACAGATTTTTTTTTATTATTATTTTTTTTTATTTAAAAGGTATACACAACAGGTTACAACCAATAACTTTATAAACATTTATATACAGATAAAAGTTTGAACTAGATTGAGACCCAGACAGGTGTACACACAGCACGGTTAAAGCAGTCGGCAAACAATGTTAAATTATAAAGTTCTTTATTCTTTATTGTACACAAAACATACTGTTAATTACAATTCATTATAAACATAATGTACAAAGGCGATCTTATCTCTAATAAGAGATTTCTTCCAGCAAAACCTTTCCATGTTATTGTGTTATTTTATAAATAAAAATAGGCAGTCATACGATCTGCATATATTGTATAAACGCATAAGTTATGTATACACAAAGAATAATACAAACTACACATTATAAATTACATAAAATACCCTGTAAACATACACATATATTTACACAAACATACATATACACATATATACACATACATATATATACACATATAAACATATATAAATATACATACACATATACATAATATGTCAGCATAGTGATAAGTAATGCTCTCTTAGACGACGCTTAAACATGCCTATACTTGCCGATTCCCTTATTTCGGATGGCAGACTATTCCATAGTCGAATGGATATAACTGTAAAGGAATTCCCAAAAGCCTGAGTATGATGTGGTGGAGTTCTTAGAAGTAATCGTGTCTGAGGGCGAAGTGGTTTATCTCTTGAATATAAATATTCATAACGCTCGCGGAGATAACAAGGAATGGAGGGATTATGCAAGATATTGTAAAGAAGCGTCAGTATATGGACATTCAATCGAAAACGTGAAGGTTTTTTATTTCTATTTTATTATATTTTAATTCTTTTCGATATTTAGAGACATGATCAAACTTACGCAAACCATAAACGAAACGAATGCATAAATTTTGTAGACGGTCAATTTAGAAAATAACTCTGAAGTGGCGTCAAGAAAACATACATCTGCATAATCCATAAGGGGAAATAATAATGTTTGGGCTAAATTGACCTTTGTTTTAATAGGTAGAAAATTTTGTAGACGTCTGAGTGAGTGAACAGTCGCATGTACTTTTTTACTTATCTGGTTTACGTGAGACGTCCAGGAAAGATTTCTGTCAAAAAGTACGCCCAGATTTTTAACGACATTTGTATATGATATTATTGTCCCCTCATACACCACAGATGGAACAGTCATACGATCTAATAAATCTGTCATGTATCTGCTTCCGATAATAATAACTTGTGATTTTGTTGGATTCACTAATAGACCATATGCATTTGCCCATCTTGAAATGTTTACCAGATCATGATTAATCAAGTCTATAGCAGTACCGATATCACAAATGTCAAAAAAACTGTACAGCTGCAAGTCATCTGCGTATAGATGAAAGTAGAATGAAGTTATATAAAGAAAGCATATGAATGTGGTAAATGGCAATGAAGTACATGCAAATAATAAAAATATGAAAAGATTTTGGCCTTTAAATTAAAAGTCTAATATTCGTTTA